TTTAAAAGTGAGATATATTCCTATATAATATCTTCTTAAATTTTTTCCTGTTCTTTTTAAAAGTTGACATGAACCTTCTGTGCTTTGCCGTCCATACTCATGAAGAATGAGTGACCCCTCTGAAGGATCAACAATGGGAAACCCTTGGAGTGCTAGCACAGTAGTTGGTGACGTTTCTGCCTTGACCGCCCAGCTTCCCTTCCACCACTACTGAGTAGAGCTAGAGTTACACAGGCAGGTTTGTCAAGACGAAGGCAGGCACCTTCTGCCCTTCAATCCACCTGTAAGACAACTCCAGGCTTTGAACTTTCGGAAATTCAGACAGGAAGAGATTTTTTTTTCCTCTTTGATAAACACTCCTATCTTTACCCTGCAGATCTTAGCTATTTGCCAAAGACTCCGTTTTGTTGAGCCAATAGGTTTAGAGCAGGGGGGAGTACACATGGGACTGGATGGGGGTGGGGTGTGCTTTAATGTTTTACAAGCAGGAGGAGGCTAGCAATTTGGTTAGTCAGCAAACATGAATCCTCATTAATGTCTTCATCCAAACCTATTCTCTCCACACAGCTGTGAAAATATAAATTCACTGGACTGTTCTGATCAACACACCCAGGGGGAAACAGTGAAAATGTAATGCCAAGGAACTAATTAGATGAGTAACACAGGCCTGCAATACATAGGAAGGACTGGGAGGTCACGTTATAGGCTAAGATAACACAGTTGCTCCTTGGACCCCGTGGAAACTCAAAACTACAGAATCCAAGTCCTTTATATAAAATTGTATAGTACTGCATGCTACCTATTCACCCTGCATACACTTTGAATTGTTGTGCTATGCTGAGTGGGGAATAATGACCCCAAAAAAAGCTATATATGCTTCTAATGTGTGAGTGTGTGAGTGAGTGTGTGTGTGTGTGTGTGTGTGAGAGAGAGAGAGAGAGAGAGAGAGAGAGAGAGAGAGAGAGAGAGAGAGAGAGAGAGAGAGAGCGATGTGGAACTGAACCTAGAGCCTAACACATGCTAGGGAAGCACAACACCACTGAGCTCCGTCCTCAGACTTTTTTGCATTTATTTTGACACAGGGTCTCACTAAGTGACCTTGAACTTGTGATTGTCCTGCCTCAGGCTCCCGAGTAGTTGAGATTATAGGTCTATGCCACCAGACCCAGCTAAACGTTGTGGGTAGGATGGAGGAGGTGGTCCCTGGAGTTTAAACTCAGGGCTTTATATGTGATAGGCAAGCGCTCTATCACTAAACGACAGTCCTAGCAAAGTTTTTCAGAAACTCTCTATCTGCATCGGATGGAGTTCATGGATGCAAGGCCTGTAGGTATGAAGGGTAAACTGAGTATCAGAATTCATACTGGTGTAAAGTTCCCCGCAAGGCCACCAAAAGGCATAAAGGAGCAGAAAATGAAAGGTCTGGAGGACAGGAGCTCTCACGGCTTTCAGCACTGTGTGAAGGATAGATAGCATCTCACTGTGGAGGGGCCACAATGGCACCTTTATGCCTGGTTTACATGAAAAGCAATTAGAAGCAAAGAGATTGGCCTGTCAATCACTTTTGGATCCCAAGCCGTAATTTAAATTTGGGTTAACTCCAGAGTCTGTTTCTAACCATGTCATTGTCATAATGCGTCTGGCATTATGCTTGTGTTATTATATAGAGAGGGGTAAAGCATAGGGCTCTCTCCTAGCCCTTTGTAAGTTTACAACTTGACTGAGCAGCCGGGCAGGATACACATGGAGCAATCAGAAAACAGAATGGGAGTGTACCACGGTGGTCCAGTGCCTCGTGATGAAGAGGGTAATTCACAAGCCCTGAGGCAAGCGAACATAGTTCAGCTGTGCCAAATTGCTAGGCGTTTCCGCCAGACTGAAAACTAAAGAGCAAGCTGCTGAGAATAAGGACCAGTGACTTTCTGACACAGTGTAGCGTGCATGTTGAAAAGGAACTCTCATTGACCGACTCCTCCTAGAAATGACAGGACAGCCAGCCCAACCCCAGCTATACGGTAAGTGGCAATTAAGACAATGCCCACAGCTCCAAAAAGCAGCAGGATGAAGGGAAGAGCAGTTCCTGAGGCCCTCTCTAACAGAGCTGTGGTGACCTCTCCTAGAGACTGAGTCAGCTTGCCTCAGTTCTTTTCACCGTAAACTAACCAGCTTGACAAGGTGTTTCCATGCTACTTCCCTTTAGCTTCAGGGTGGAGGAAGCCATCAGGAAGCATACTCACATCCTAAAACTCACACCCAACACAAGCCTCCTTCAGAAGCCAGGACAGCATTCCATTTGCTATCCTGAAGTTTCTCATGTGCTCTCAAGTGTACGTGATTTTTAGAAATCTATCCTTTCATGGGGAGAGGGGTGGCATGCTGTCATCAGCAGCAGCCTCATGGTGGAGAGCTGACAGGCAAGTCTTCAGAGTGCAGGGCAAGACAGGCCAGTCTGTATTGTGTGTCTTGAATGACTCAGGTTTCGTGGGGGATCAGAGGAAGAGGTGTAGAAATGAACCCACTCTGGCTGTGGTGAATGGACAACAAACAGAAAGGCTTCCATATGTCAGACAATACCCTTAATGCTTTCAAGAGCCCAAGCCCTATCTGGATCTATATGGCAGAACAAATACTTGCTACACATATAGATTAAAACAAAATGGCAAAGCACTCTGTTTAATGCCAGCCAGTGGTTCCCCAGAACTCAAAATCTTCAAGGGAACTTTGAAAAAATATTCACAATGTTCCCAAATCTGAAACTCTGATTGAGAGAGCCTTGGTGGGACCTGACTAATGGGTCCATGGTTGTAATCAGCATAATAGAGCCAAGTCTGAAATACCTCAAACAAGAGAGAGTGGGATGATCCCCATCAGCAGACGCTGAAATGAATGGGAGGGTTTGGCGGCTCTCCCAATCTGCCTCCATCAGTCACTTTATGAAGGCTCTCTGATGACACACAGGGTACTCACCAGTCCCATCACAGGGGATGGCCAGTTCAGGCTATGCCTCCACTCCTGCCAGAAGTCTTAGCTGGGGCCATCCTTGCAGACTTGTAGAGGTTTCCCTTGCACCAGGCTTCTGCCTGACTCTGTAAATCCCACCTTTCCAGTCATCTCTCTCAGCACTGTCTCCCTCTGCCCATCCCCCAGCCAGATCCCTTAAGTTCCCATCCCCACCCTCCCCCAGTCCAACTGGGAGATCTCCTCTATTTCTGCTTCCCAGGGAAATCTCCGCACTCCCCACCCCCTTTGGACAATGTCAGCCTTCTATGATCAATGATGATACCCAAGGTGAAAACACAGCAGTGATATTTCAAAAAAAAGGAAGTGTGAAGAACTGAAAAGTGAAAGTTCAAGAAACAATTTCCCATACCCAATGGCTAAAGGAAGTGGGAATGCTTAGCCAGGACAAGAATAAGTGATTGGGGAATGATGGTGTAATCCTGTAATCTCATCACTTGGTAGAAATAGGAAGATCAGGAGTTCAAGGCCAGCCTTGTCTATTCAGTAAGTTCAACACCATCCTGGACTACATGAGATTCTATCACAAGAAAGAAAAGAATGAAAAGAAGCAAGAAATAGGTAAAAAATATGGTTCTGTCTTCAGCAGTACAGATGGGGCCCAGAGCAAGTCATCTGGTTGTGTATGGTTAAAGAGCGAGAAACCTAGATTCTTGGAGGGCCTGGAAACTTAGATGAGAATAAAAAATGAATATTCTTAGTAACCTTATATGGAAATTTATCATTTCCTTAATTATAAATATCTACAGAAATCTAGGTAGAAGTAGAAGTAACTGATCTTGCCACTAATAAAAATAACACGTTTTCACTTTATATTATAGTTATGGTAGATATATTATAATATTATGGCTATTTAGGGTGACCAATTGTCTCGATTTGTCCACATTAGAGGGATTTCCTAGAACATGAGGCTAACAATGTCAAAATTCAGTCCCAAGCAAGTCATACCCTACTTACATTCCTTACTGCTTGGAAATTCAGTTAGCTATCACATTTCCAGGTAACAATGGTCCACGTGGCAATAAAGATGAATTTAAATTACCGTCTCACAATTTCAAAACCATCTTGTGTCTCATAAATGTAAGTCAACATAATTTTCTCCATTGTTAATGCTTCCTGTTTCATTTGGTAAAAGGGTACACATTCATTGAAGGAGTACACAGCACACACACACACACACACACACACACACACACACACACACACACACACAGTCTAAGAGAGAAGAAAGGTAGAAAAGCCTTTGGCTATAAAATAGAAGCCTCAAGATTTAAACTCCTTCAGGCCCATAAAGCTAAAGGCCACAGTAGATCATGCAGTACAAAAACAATTTGGAGCCGGGCGCTGGTGGCACACGCCTTTAATCCCAGCACTCGGGAGGCAGAGACAGGCGGATTTCTGTGAGTTCGAGGCCACCCTGGTCTACCGAGCGAGTTCCAGGACAGCCTCCAAAGCAATGCAGAGAAACCCTGTCTCGAAAAAAACCAAAAAAAAAAAAAAAACCAATTTGGGAATGCATCTCCAAAGCTAATGCACAAAGTCATTTTTCTGTCATCATAAAACCTCTAAGTTCTCCATTCCCTACATAGCCTTGTCTATATTTTATGACCTATATTGCTGTAGAGTCAACTTAGACTTGGGAGCTATCAATTGGAATATCTACTTCCCAATAACTACAAATAATTCCTCTAAGAATCATATTTTGACCCCTTGTTTTATCTGTTAATTAAAGCAATAGAAATTCATATTTTTTAAAAAGGTCAAGTTTAATCAAATAATGGAAAGACAGAGGTGCACATACCTGTAATCTCAAGATTCAGGAGGCTAAGTCAGGAGGGTTATGAGTTAAAGGACAAGCGAGGTCATATTCATAGCAAGTTCCTGGCCTATGTATGACCTGTATAGTTAGACCCTATATCAAAACTCCTAAAGGGGGAATGAAGGAAGGGAGGAAAAGGGATGGAATAAACACAAACTCTTACCAGACACCACTGGGCTTCAGTCAGATGTTGGGTACCACGTGGCCTTACATCTATTGCTGACAGAGGTTCCATTACATCCCCACAAGGTCCTATGAGCCTTGCTCTTCTCTGCTCAACGTGTTTCCAAGCAGCTGGCCCAATATGGCCGGAAGGCAGGGTTCTCATGATTGCTCTAGTTCCAGTATACACAGACTTCTTAACTTCCCTGTCATTTTTACAAAACCTTCTGACTAACAAGGTGGACCGTTCTTTTTTGCTTTTAAAAAACTCGTCTCCGTCTTCACAATTGTCAGAGAAATCCTCCAAAGGGCTCAGAAAAGTCTTGGCAGGTGGATTGTGCGCAAAGCCCTCCCTGAAAAACATGCGGCTCGAGCAGAGCACATCATCAGCCTGCTGGCAGGAGCTTTCAAAGCACAGGTGTTCGTCACCCAGTGAGCTGCAAGGCTCACACTGCAGCTGCCCATTCTTACGGCCACAGGTTTTTGTCAGTTCCACTAGTTTACAAGTATATGCCATGCAAGTTTTCTTCTGCTGCCCCCCGGGAAGAGTCACACAATTTGCACAGTCATCCAAGATTAATTTTTCTGACAGGGTGTGGAAAGCATCTGATATTGTTCTGTCAGCTTCATAACGGAAATGAAATACTGCCATGTTGCTGTCAGGGTGAGGTCCCCTGGTCCCTGTGAGTCCAGGCTCGTTTCCCAAAGGGCTTACATTCATAGGAGAATCATCCATTTCCAGCTGAATCCCAGGGAACACCTTCCTTTCCAGTGGAGAAGAAATTCCAGTTTGCAAACACAGGTCCTCTCCTGAGACAGAGTCACAGGCTACACAAAGCTGACTCTGAGGACGGTCACTCTGGTGGCTTTGCAGTAAGCTGTTGCAGTTAATGGCGTGGTTTTTCACAGAATCTGGTAGGTTTTTCTCCCAGCATTTTTCATTGTGGTTCTCATCACTCATTACTTCCCCACTTGCTATTGGGAATAACTGGGATAAATCACTTCTAGAAGGCCCGGCCTCAGGTTTGTTCCACTGTGAGATGGTATGAGGGATCTGGCCGCTGTGCCTGCCAGCACATGTCTTTGGAATATGGGCATCCAAGACATTTTCACTCTTGTCCTCTGCCACTGCTGACTGGGCAGAAGCCACTTTCCTCTGGGTCACAGGGATGAGGATGGAAGCTGCCATTTCTTCGGAAGTCATCTTGACTGGTGTCCTTCAGTTACTCTCCAGTGTTCCCTTCCCTGGTGATCATGTCAAGATAACAGGGAACCTCACATAATCCCAGTTGTGGTGAGAAACACGTTGACAGTACCTTTCATTTGGGTATATTAAGAGTCAAACAAAACTTTCCAGTTGTAATTTCCTACAAGAACAGTTCGTTTTAGACCAGTGTTTCAAAACGGCAGGTCAGTTTTCTTTCCTCAGTCGCTTGAAACATTTTGTTCAGGATCACATTTTGCGACTTGTGGCTTATTGTTAATGTACAATGACTTAAAATCCAGTTTGAGTGTTTTCTGTTCCCTGGAAGAAAAGAAACAACATCAAACAGTTATGGCATTAAATAGGCTTTTTAAATGAGTCGGTAATTTTTAGTTAATGGAAAATATAGGTCAATTCTGAGAAGAGAGTTTTACAGTCAAAAGTTAGTTATTATATTTTAAGCATTTATCACTTTGGCTTGACATTCAGAAGTTCTGCTTCCAGAAAAAAACAAATGAACAAACAAAAAGCAGAAGAGTATGAAGAATCAAATTTATCCTGGTGCATTAAATAAAGTCTAAGCAAAAACAGAAACAGAAAAAACATGCATTAGTTTTCACACAATAAACAGTCTAGAGTGCTGAAATCTGAATCAAGAGAAATGTGAAGTGAGCACAGTGCAAATAGCTGGGCTCGCTATGTAGAGCGTCTCCAGGCCCAGGCAGAACCAATAGTCTGGACAGAAGAGCCAAAGCTGCAACTTCAGGAAGGCCAAAGGAGCTAGGGCGGTAAGACAAGAGCTGGAAAGATAAGGCAGTAGATTACTCATCGGAGTCAGTGCAAGCAAGCAAAGAGTAGAGTAAGAAGAAATGCTGTTAGGCAGAATTCTATAGCCAGCAAAATCTCCTACAAGTGCAAACAAAGAAGACCTTTTTCAGAGCAGAAGAATTCATCAAATAGCAGAGATGAGCTATTGAAAGTAGTAAAGGAAGGTCCTTGTGCAGAAAGAAAATTCTTGATACCTCTGATAAAGGAACAAATAGGGGCTGGAGAGATGACTCAGCGGTTAAGAGCACTGGCTACTCTTCCAGAGGACCAGGGTTCAATTCTGAGCACCCACATGGCAGCTCACAACTGTCTGGAATCCAGTTCAAAGTGATCTGACACCATACAGGCATAAATGCAGACAAAGCACCAATGCACATAAAATAAAAAAGCATAAAGCATTTTTAAAAGGAGCAAATAGCCTAAGCATATTAAATATATGCATGATTATTTTTAATTACTTAGCAAAATAACTGACCACTTAAAGAAAAATAGTAACTGTGTGCTGTGAGAGTTCTAGTAAACACAGAAGTGAACTATCTAGACAGCAGAGGGCAAGAGAAGGTACCTTAAACAGTAATACTATAAGGTTATTTCTACATGAACCATTATATGTTTACTTAAAGGTAGACTAAAGAGGCACACACTCTGAATCCTAAAGCAATCATTTATGAAAAAAATATCATTAACATTAAAATCATTTAAAATTAAGTTCATTTTAAACATTTACAAAACCAAACAGCAAAGAGGAAAAGAGACAAAAAAAAAAAAAAAGAACAGTGGATTTAAACATGCCTAAATGCATCTTTAGTCAACATTTCTAGTCTCTCCTCCCCACTCCCAAGTTACACATTTAAAGAAAATATCCCTTTGGTTTCATTTGAGTAAGAAATTGTTCAGTTTAATGTAAGTAGACATAGCAGACTGACTTATAAAGATGTAGTATTTTAAGTGGCTTAGCTAGTTTAATGACTTAGTCTTTTTTTTTCTTCAAATTATTGACCGTCTCCCTTGTGTTGCATATGGTACTGTGGGGTGGAGCCCTATAAACAGAGGGAGTCAAACAAATTTCTATGTGATGTGGAAGGTGCTGTTAGCAAGGCTGGGGTTACAGACACAGAGAGCCATGATCAGCTTTTTTTGGTGAATAATTATTATTTTTATTGAGATATACATTTTCCCCACTCCCTTTCCTTCCTCCCTTCTCCCCTTCCATCCCCCCCCCACTCCTCTACCACCAAACTCCCAATTTACTTCAGAGATTTTGTCTTTTTCCCTTCCTAGGCCAACCCAATAAGTCTCTTTTGATCCTCTCTGTTATTAGCTTCTCTGGGGTTGTGTCCTGTAGGCTGGTTGCCCTTTGTTTTATGTCCAATATCCACTTATGAGTATTATATTTGTCTTTCTGGGTCTCGGTTACCTCACTCAGGATGGCTTTTTCTACTTCTGTCCATTTGCCCGCTAATTTCAAGATGTCATTTTTTTTTTATTTCTGAATAGTACCCCATTGTGTAAATGTACACCTTTCCCTTGTCCATTCTTCGGTTGAGGGCATCTCTGGCTACTATGAATGATGCTGCTGTGAACACAGTTGAGCAAACATCCTTGTGCTGTGAGTGTGAATTGAGAATCAGTCTACCTCAAGACCTGGCAATACCACTTTTGGGCATATACACTCCTACCTCAAGGTTAGCATGGCTATTTCAGGTATGCTGGATAAGAGACTGCCCATCACAAGTAGACCCTTTCTTCCTAGATTCAGCCCCTCCTCCTGAGGCAACTCTTCAGAGGTCACCATCCACTGCCAGCACCAGCTATACTTCCTTTGCTCCTTGTCACATAGATGTCACTCTTTCCCAAGGAAATCTACCAACAAGACTACCTAAGCATGAGCTGAACAAGGAAAACAATAGACATACCAAAGTAGGTAGAGAAAAGCCATGAGGCCTCAACCCTACAATAAGAGCTATAGGCAATTTAGGAATGCTGAGGGCAGGAGAACAGTCTTCCAATTTGTTATTCAATACCAAATGCTCAGCCCTGAAAAATTCATACAAATAACACCGAACAGACTAAGCAGGTCATATTTTCCATGTATACATATAATGACAATGAAAACAGAGGCCATAAATTTGAAAGAAAACAAAGAGGCATGTTGTGGGAAGGTTTGAAGAGAGGAAAGGGAAGGGTGAAATGTAATTCTAATATCAAATTTGTTTAAAAGAATAAAAAAAATAAAAGTATGTATCCACAAACAACTTTCTATTTCAAGAATGCTACAGAAAACTTTAATGGGTTATGTCACTAATTTGAATTTAGGGTCTTTGCTTTACTCTTGTAAAGAGTTAGGGGATTTTTTGTTTGTTTTTGTTTTTTAAAGCCTTCAAATAAACAGCAGCTCCATGTTTTGGTTCTGGTTTTTATTTTTTCATCTATGAAAAGAGTAATTCTAGGTAGGAGAGAGGAACAAACGTTTTTGGTGCTAAGTCTTATGCTAAGTACAGTGCAGTTAATATCTCAGTTCATTCTCACTCAACTTTGGGAAATAAATGTGATGATTTTAAAGTAACAAACGCTTTCGATATTTTTCTTTACAAAAGGTAAGACATGCTTCTCCTTGTGAATATGGGATGCGCCAGTGACTTCCTTCTAACCCACAGGATGTAAAGGAAGAAAGCCTGAGGCCTTCAGAAAACAGGTCATGCTGCTCTGGGTCAGCGGCTGTTGAGCTGCCCCTGGACAGTCACAGGATGTATCATCGTGAGAGTGGCTCCTCCGGCCTCAGTTGAAGCTTCCAGTGATTACAGCTGCAGCCAGCACCTGCAACCTCACAAGAGTGTCTCAACCGCACAGACTCTCTCCCAAACTCCTAACCACAGAGTTACATGGAAATAATACAGGTTTATTGTTTTGCACCATAAATTTTGTTGTGTACTCTTACATAGCAACAGATAACACAAGAAAGTTGTGCTCTCTGTATTTGAGAAATTAGAACTCAAGGCCAAGAAAAAGCTAAGTCAACTAGTGAGGATGATGGAGACTGGGTTCAAATCTAAGGAGCCTGACTCTAGAGACTTTTCCTGACCATCAACTGTGCTGTCTCCTCCTCTATCCAGTCTGAGACCTCATGCGTTCAGGTTTGGTGTTTATGAAGACACATGGCTGCTGGGAGTAGCCCATCTTTCATTTGAGTTTGTTTCTGGAAGGCTGGAGCTTATAGATAGCCCACTAAAGCAATGATCTTTGCTTTGCTTCCAGCTGTATTCAGGAATGAGAAACATCACAGGGAACTGACTCCCTAGGCTTGGCTCCATCTCAGGATATTCCATTTTTCAAAAAAGTGTTTACTGAGTACAAAACTAAATGAAGCAAGCATCTCGCCCTGGATTTCTTTGTGAGCTAACAAATTCCCAGTTGGGGTATGTTACAAACAGCGTTGCGTCAACACTGAGGAAGAACACCTAAAGCAGATGGTGGGCATGAGGCAGGATTAACTTCCACAGTGGTTTCCTGGAGATGAGGATGCCTGAGCTGCATTATTAAACACAAGTAGGAGTCAGCAAAGTGATGAGGTGCATGTGCTTTTCAAAGAAGATCAATGTGGATCGAAATGAATGAAAACATAGGGCCTGGGACCCCCTGTCAATGTTTTACAGTAAGGTTTGAGTTTCTCTCCTGCAAAATGGAAATAAAGTCACCTTCAAAAATAAAGTTGTGACTGAAATTCTTGGAAAGACAGAGGAAATGCCTGTCATTCTACGTTATTCACAAGAAAGGGCAATCAAGGAAGGCTCAATGACTCTGCTGTGGCGGTGACATGGTGCGGAGTTTACTCTCGCGAGACAACTGTACATATATTCCACTCTCACAAGACAACTGTACATATATTCTTCCCCAGGTCTGCTTGGGTTTCATTCCTGTTTTATAACTGGAGCCAGTTCCTTGAATGTCAGTTTTGTGACCACCAATACCACCAATTGCTGTCATTATTGAATTGTCTTTTCCACATCTATAACATTGGGAAGAAACACCTGTGTTATATATGTCAAAAGTGATTAGCTTATCAACAAGTACTAATTTCTACCTCTTAGGTAGTCCTGGGTTGACTTTTAAAAGAAACGGTCAAGTAAGATTAGAATTAAAGTTACAGTGAGCATTATGATATTTTAAAACAAAATTAGAAGCACCAAAATATGGACCACACTCTTAACAGATATGAAAAGCAAAAGGATGTAAAATGTGATTCATTAGTTTTACTTTCAGTAAGTGTGCCGTTTATCATTACAGCATCAGACATGTTTATGAGGGAGACTAGAAAAGGACCACTCCATGAGAATTCAAGAGATATATGGCCTAAGCATATGTGATGTGTGTGTGTGTGTGTGTGTGTGTGTGTGTGTGTGTGTGTGTGTGTGTGTGAAGACAATATGTCTAAGTCAGAGATTTACTGGTGGGAGATACTATGATAATGGGAATAAATAACCAGAAAACAGAGC